CTCCTTCTTCTCCTCCTTCTCCTTCTTCTTCTTCTTTTTCTCCTTTTCTTTATCTTTTTTTCCTTCTTCTTCTTCTTCTTCTTCTTCTTCTTCTTCTTCTTCTTCTTCTTCTTCTTCTTCTTCTTCTTCTTCTTCTTCTTCTTCTTCTTCTTCTTCTTCTTCTTCTTCTTCTTCTTCTGTTTCTTCTTCTCCTCCTCCTCCTCCTTCTTCTTCTTCTTCTTCTTCTTCTTCCTCTTCTTCTTCTTCTTCTTCTCATCCTTCCTTTCTCCTTCTCCTTCTTCTTATCCTTCTTCTTATCCTTTTTCTTCTCCTCCTCCTCATTCTTCTTCTTTTCTCCTTCTTCTTCTTCTTCTTCTTCTTCTTCTTCTCTTACTTTTTCTTCCCTCCTCCTCTTTCTTCTCTCCCCCTCCACCAGCATGTCCAATGATCCTCCTCGCTCTAATCATCATCAACATCATTATCATCATGTTGGTCATTTCATCCGTGCTCACATCTACGGCTAACAGTTTTGAAACTGACAGGGGTAAATCCAGATCTCATATTGACAAACCTTTCAGTCAGCCCGTATTCATGTTGGTTAACCATAGTTTTTTATTCTCTCTTGCAGGGTCCATATGAAAGCAGTGAGGACGTTAGCCCAGAGGAGCTGAACAAGCGACAAGTTTTGTATAAATACTGGGCCCGCTGGGGAGTGTGGTACAAGTACCAGCCTTTAGATCACATACGGGAATATTTTGGGGAGAAGATCGGAATATACTTTGCATGGTTAGGTAAGTCACGTTAGCTAAGCTGAACTTAAGTCCATTTCTGTAGAAAGATCTAAACATGCTTTGTTTTGCTTTTATGATTCACGTTAAAAAGCTAAGTTAATAAGCTTAACATCCACACGATACTGAAAATTTGTCAGCTGCGTTGGACTGGTCACCTAACCGTCATGCCAGACTATCGCTTCCCAAAGAGAGTATTTTATGGCGAGCTCCAGCAAGAGAAGAGGTCACAGGGGGGACAGAAAAAGCGCTATAAGGACACTCTGAAGACTGCTCTCAGTTCTTTTGGCATCAACACAGAGACGAGGAGGCTTGCTCCACAAGACCGTTCTGGATGGCGTATGTCCTCAGACATGGTGCATTGGCCTGGCAGGCAGCAGAGGTTGCACAGACAGAGAAACAGAGGCAGATTAGAAAGAATCGTATTGCTAATCCCACACTTACTGCAGCTTCTAACTATTGTCCGCACTGCTTAAGAACTTTCCAGGCTCATCACTGGACTAATCAGCCACCTTCGTACTCATAATTATTGATCAAAACTACATTGGATGAAAGTGGTCTTCATCACTCGTAACGGACAAACAACACAACAACACATTAATAAGCTCAACTCAACAAAAATATAAAGGAGATCAATAACAGTAGACTTTGCTTGGTTAGATAAGTCATATCAGCTAAGCTAAATCAATCAATTTCCATAGAAAGTTCTCACACCCGCTTGCTGATTGGCCCTAATAAGCTAAACTCAACAGCAGCTTCTGTGGCTTAGGCATTGCGAACGTGCTTGACAATTCCGAGGTACCCAGTTGGATTCGAGCTGCAGGCAATTTGGCAGCAGACCATCTTGCGTTGACATCGAAAATAAATAATATTGAGAGCTGACCTTTCAAGGGCAATGGCAAACTTGTGAAAGTAAAATTGTTTTGTAAAATCTAGCAGCCAAAAACTTCTAGTTTTAGTTCTTCAACGTCCTGCGAGGGATACCCAATTTATAATATAATTTATAAAAGACAATAGCAATATATATACTTTACTTGGTTTGATAAGTCATGTAAAGTATTTTAAAATAACTTACCTGAATTCATCGCATTATAATTTGGTCGATTAGGTTTTCGTTTACATAAAGGTTTATTAATAGATTAGGTTGGTCTCGTGAAGTCAGCTGAACTCAACCCTAAGATATCAATATACTTTGCTTGGCTATATAAGGAACCGGCTAACTTCTCCTGCGTGCATCTTTTCAAAGGTCACTAGCAAGTTGTGTTGTGGCCTATAGCAAGGCTGCGACATCTATGCGTTTTATCCCTAAATAGTCACCCTTTGCGACACGCTTTTGCGGGGAGGAGGGGGGGGGTACTAGTGGGCCTATTCGTGCGCCCCCCCCCCCCCCCTTTCCCCACTGAAATTGAGGTCACGAGACTACATGCAGACCAGGTAAACTAAATTCAACATATTAGAAGTATAGTAAAAGTCTGTTTTGGTTCCACCGAGTGGCTGTTCTTATCTAAACTCTCTCTCTCTCTCTCTCTCTCTCTCTCTCTCTCTCTCTCTCTCTCTCTCTCTCTCTATCTCTCTCTCTCTCTCTCTCTCTCTCTCTCTCTCTCTCTATCTCTCTCTATCTCTCTCTATCTCTCTCTATCTCTCTCTCTCTCTCTCTATCTCTCTCTCTCTCTCTCTCTCTCTCTCTCTCTCTCTTTGTTTCCGTCTATTTCTCCCCCATCCTTTTATTTTAATATATATTGTGAATACTTTTACCTTGGTCAAAAGGGGAGCTGCGTGGTCTCTAGGCATGGTGTCCGCCTTGAGTGCTAGAGCTTCTGGGTTCAATCCCCGGTAAGGGCGGGATTTTTTCACATGGACTTGGACTTATAGTAATTCCTCCTGGTCTCTGGTAGTGAAGCCGGACGCCCATTTGCAAATCTGCGCACGTAAAAATTCCTTTGGCAGTTGAAAATCGAAAAATGTAGCCTAACGGCTCTGCCAAGGCAAAATTTGGAGTTAATAAACTACTGAAAGTATTTCAGAATCCTGGCCGGTGCTACAGAGCTTGTGCACTGTGCTGAGTTTCTTCTGACTCAGACTTGAGTTAGAAAAAGAACGGAGCACTTATGGTTTACTACCCATGTGCCATGATGTTGATTCGTTGTTAAAACTTTAAAACCTTGGTTAAAAGAAGTGTGTCCTGATTGTTTCTTTTTTTTATTTCTGAATAAATTTCCACTTGTAACTTAAACTGAAAAAATCTTGAAAATGTTTACCTTTTTTGTCTTTTCGAAATCTTTTCGTTGATCATGACCGAACCGTCTTAGCCAGCTAAATGTCCTTACATAGGCAGTTGGTGGATTTAATGACCTTGTTTCCATGTCCAACTTATCTGAGGATATATTGTTACGGGAGCCGCTACAGCCAGGTGGTTAGACCCTTGCCTGCCGACCCGAAGGTTCTAATCCACATTGATTTATTCTTTTAAAACTGACATTGGCTCCAAGGTCAACCCAATCCCATGCAGCTGAAACAGGAATACCTGTTTTTGTCAGGCTAGCCGGTGGTAACAATTGGATTGGATTGGCTTTTTACCCCACCAGGACATCACACAAGCGATAAACACCCGATGACACAACGTGCCACCATGCGGATGAGGATCACCGTGGAGAGGTCCCAGAAACCGCGTTCAGACATTTGGCCATAATGATGACCTGCCTATATTGCGGCCCCTGGCAAAAGCCAGAGTGGGGCTTCAAATAACAAAAAATAACGTCCTAAGAAGGACGTAAGGAATTAGTGGTAACAATTGTTATCATTGTTATCGAGTAGATTTATACACATATTGAACTACAGTTTAATTAATTTGGAATACTTTTTATTAAATGAATTAATATTTTGAAGATAAGTAAATGGGCTATTAGAAAATTTTTGTATTCAACCCAACCTAAAATGGGTACTAGGTAACATAAGGGAAAGTAAATAAGGCCGTCGGGATGTTGACCGAATCGTCCCAGAAACCCCATTCAACCGTTAGGTTATATTAGGTCCCCTTACTACAGACAGGGTGCGGCTTTAAAAAAATTGTGTCCCATATTTAGGCAAACTGTACTTAATTTCCTGAGGATTAAGCTGTCAGTCATGTCTACTTACTTACGTCCTTTTCAGGACGTAATTTTTTCTTATTTGAAGCCCCACTCTGGCTTTTGCCAGGGGCCGCAATATAGGCAGGCCATCAATATGGCCAATTGTCTGAACGCGGTTTCTTGGACCTCTCCACGGTGATCCTCATCCGCATGGTGGCACTTTGTGTCATCGGGTGTTTATCGCTTGTGTGATGTCCTAGTGGGGTAGAAAGTTAGTCGGTCAGCCGTCAGTCATGGATATGTGGAAAGCAAGGGGAGACTACCAATTATAAATCAATAGAAACACTAAACAGAAGCCTAAACAGCCTCTTCTGCCCAGACGCTAAGGTATTAATTAAGGTTATGTAAACGTCATTGTTGCTTGGAAAGAGCGGCGATAGAGAAAAGCTTCTAAAGATGGCTACAAGACAGACTATACAAAGGCTATGACAGCACATAGGCGGAAAATGTGCTACAGAAACTTCAGGTGTGCCATGATGAGAATGACATTCCGTAAGGACCTGCTATCTATTCCTTACGTCCTTCTTAGGACGTTATTTTTTTGTTATTTGAAGCCCCACTCTGGCTTTTGCCAGGGGCCGCAATATAGGCAGGTCATCATTATGGCCAAATGTCTGAACGCGGTTTCTGGGACCTCTCCACGGTGATCCTCATCCGCATGGTGGCACTTTGTGTCATTGGGTGTTTATCGCTTGTGTGATGTCCTGGTGGGGTAAAAAAGCCAAGACAAGCCACCTGCTATCTTTTCACCTTCCTTTTGAGGATGAATTTGAAGCCCTACTCTGGCTCTTGCCAGGGGCCGCAATATAGCCTGGCCTAAAGGCTGAACGCAGTTTCTGGAACCTCTCCACTGTGATCTTCGCCCAAATGGTGGCACATTGTGACATTGGGTGTTTATCGCTTGTGTGATGTCCTGGTGGGGTAGAAAGTCAGGCAGTCAGCTGTTAAGGACCTGCTGGTTAACGATGATATTGTTGCACAATTGAAAATTGATTGTGGCCCATCCTTGACAGATATGATAAACAATTCACAGATTCTTCGTAGGTTTTTATTCTTCATAAATCACACGCATTCCACTATGTTCTTTTCGTTCTTGTTTATGTAGGATTCTATACTGCCTGGTTGCTTCCTGCCTCAATTGTCGGAGTACTGGTATTTTTATATGGCTTCATTACATTCAACGACAACATCCCAGCGTAAGTCAATATATACAGCTGAGTTAAAATGTTTGTAATTGTATCCTTGTTTGTATCTTGTCATCCCTTTATGGGATGCAATTTTTTGTTATTTGAAGCCCTACTCTGGCTCTCGCCAGGGGCCGCAATACAGTCCGGCCATAAATATGGTCTAATGGCAGAACGGAGTTTCTGAGACCTTTCCACAGGTGATCATCATCCACATGGTGGCACTTTGTGTCATCGGGTGTCTATCACTTGTGTGATGTCCTGGTGTGGTAAAAGAAGAGAGAGAGAGATCCTTGTTCGTTTGTGTCTCAAGGCAGTATTGATTAAAAAGTAGTGTGGGTGGAAAGGGGGGGGGGGAAGTATAAGCCCCGCTCCAGGTCTTGAATTTTAGAAGCAATAATGATTAGTACAGGACTACAGAAGCATACAAGAAACCCTTTGATAATTAATGACAGAGTATTTAGGAGAGAAACGCACTGAAGCTTGCTATATGCAGTGCTAAAACAAAACAGAACATGAAATCAGGGCTAAGACTATTACAACAACAACAAAAAAGATAAACAAATTATGAGTTGTGCAAGACGAGATAAGAAACCATATGTTGATAGTCTATGTTGTATAATGACGAAACCGCTCTAGCCACAAAGTTGGTTTTATTGCTTGTGATTGAGCTGTTGTAAAGCAACTAGTTCTGCTTCTCTCGTATATTCATCTATTTCCTTTATCCTGTGCAATTATTTAGATATTATGGATGGAATCCACTCGAGCAGCTTTTGCCTCTCACATCGACGTTCTTTTTAGTTAGTTTTTTTTTTTTTTTTTTTTGGGGGGGGGGGGGGGGGGGGGGGGGGGTGGATGTCCTCACCTCATTAATTCTATTATTTTTAATTTCAATGCCTTTTTGCTGATTCTTTGCTGGCATCTTCTCAGGATGTGTCCAGTGTAACGCCTTCTTCTCCATCTTTTAACTGTTACTAGCTGTTGACCAGACAGTTCTCTTCTTCTTCTCTTCTTCTTCTTCTTTCATTCGCTTGAAATAGATTATCTCTATCTGCATTGTTGTCTCTAGTATGAACTTTACTGTCTTTTGTAATTCGCTCAGCGACCTGTAAAGTTTGGCTTACACCGATGTTTCTCTTGGACAAAAGTTTTGCCTTGATATTTTGTATTTGGGACAATCTTCTTGGATATGATCTGTTGTCTCAGGTGCCAATCCCCATGTACACATAGCTGATTCGCATATTTTAAATTTTGTGTACATGTGGCTGCGAAGTCTTAATTCTTCACTCCTTTCGATTTAATCCCATTTTTTTTTCATAATTTTTCTGAGGCAGTTGTTTTCAAATGCATTTAACTTTTGATGTTGCTAGTGGTTTTCCATTTTTCACTGGCATATCTTAAAACTGAAATAACATTAGAATTGAAAATGCGTAGCTTGGTTTTAGATATACAATTTAAAGTTACATATTTGTTTCAGCTGTTAAAAGGCCTTGCCACTGCATGTTATAATTGTGTTCTATGTATTTCCTTCACTATCAAAATTACTATCCAAATAAGTTATTTCTATTACTTTTATCTCTAGTGTTACTTCTGCTTGATCTGTTGTTGGTGTTTTTAATTTGTTTGTACATGTTCAGTAGATTTATTAACAGAGGGATGGTGGCCTCTGTGGCGAAGTGTTCAGTCTGTTTGCCCTTTGAAGGTCATACGCTTGGTTCATACGCTTTGGATGACTATTGTAGTTTTTAATGCGACCAACACGTATCGTCGCTGGAGCTACGTATTTCGTGCTTTGTGGGGCACTCTCTGTAGGGGTTAGCCGTTTTGCAGAAAAAAAATCTTCATGTTGATACACCCCGAGCAATAAAGTTGATTTAAGATAATTAGTTATCGCCGTTTCAACATTATGGTAAATGGGTCACCCCATCGGTGCTCTGTTCCAGTGCCAATGAAAACTACACAGAATGTCCATCACTGTCCCTTGTGGACAAATTGTCACAAACTGTAGTCCCAGCATATCCACTAGCATACACGCACAATAAATGCATAATGCAGCCATCAGAAGTGCTAACACAGACAGTCCGACACTAGAAATGCATTTTGTCATTGAGGACAGCAGCAGTTACAACAGATAAATGATTGCACAAGAGATTAATCATATAAGGCACCACCAGTTAATAACTGCAGCGACAGGCCATATGCCATTTTATTAATCTTATAATAAACAAATAGACAGTGTATTGATCGTCACTCAAAGAAAGAAGTGGAAAGATAGGGACACACTAGTCAACATAAAAATCGAAAGCTGTAGTTCCCTGTCGGGAATTGAACCTGTCACCTCCATTTTCTGAATCTACAGTTCGCACCACAATCCACATGTTGTTCATAGTCGAAAAACATTCCAAATGGAAAGATGGATTTGTTGTATAGATAGAATAATAGACAGGCAGATTCATTCAGTGTCGGCAGAGCAGAACAATGAATAGATGGATGAATGTGTAGATGGATGTTTAAATAAGCAGATGGATGGAAGGGCGGTTGGATGGGCACACCTGTAGGCGAATGGATGGGTGGAGCGATGGATCTGGGAAGGCAGGAGAGATTAAAGTTAAACAAATGTGCTGTGGTATCCTAGGCTGCATTTGAATCTTTCTGAACAAAAGCCTAAAACAATTGATTTAATTAAGTATATTTACAGGTGTATAGGTTATTATTTCAACAGAAAATGTTCATGTGTAGGTGCTGGGATCCTAGTGTGGGGCGGGTGGGGTGGAGAATAGACTCAATGTTCACTAACAAGCATGTCATGAGAGTTGACTAATTAGTGGCGTTTCTTTCGAAGTTGGAGTGCATATGCCTGAGAGGCAAGGAACCAACAGTCTGTATACAGAGAGACCAGATCTGTGTGCAAACCTCAGAGTTCTGGAACGAGATTGGCAGACAAACAACCAGAACTTCATGCTGGAGATTTCAGTCAGTCAACGCCAAGAAACAGAAGAAAAAGAAGATGGAGGAGGATGACTAGGAGGAGGACAGTAGAAGGAAAAAGAAGGTTATAGATCTATCAGTCCATGACAGATTATAAAGTGTGGGTCGTGCAGGTCAAGAGGAATTAGCCTTTTCTAGGCTTCAAACCTCGTTCAGTCTTGGTCATCAAGTAAACTATCCATAAGGCAATCATGATTGGTCACCGAGTTGGTCATCAAGTAAACTATCCACAAGGCAATCATGATTGGTCACCGAGTTGGTCATCAAGTAAACTATCTACAAGGCAATCATGATCAGTCAACAAGTAAACTATCTACAAGGCAATCCCACCGAGTTGGTCATCCACCGATTTGGTCATCAAGTAAACTATCCACAAGGCAATCATGATTGGTCACCGAGTTGGTCATCAAGTAAACTATCCATAAGGCAATCATGATTGGTCACCGAGTTGGTCATCAAGTAAAAGGCACCATGAATCACCGAGTTGGTCATCAAGTAAACTATCTACAAGGCAATATTGATTGGTCACCGAGTTGGTCAACAAGTAAACTATCCATAAGGCAATCATGATTGGTCACCGAGTTGGTCATCAAGTAAACTTCTACAAAAATCATGATTGGTCACCGAGTTTTCATCAAGTAAACTATCTACAAGGCAATCATGATTGGTCACCGAGTTGGTCATCAAGTAAACTATCTACAAGGCAATCATGATTGGTCACCGAGTTGGTCATCAAGTGAACTATCTACAAGGCAATCATGATTGGTCACCGAGTTGGTCATCAAGTGAACTATCTACAAGGCAATCATGATCTCACCGAGTTGGTCTGTAAACTATCTACAAGGCAATCATGATTGGTCACCGAGTTGGTCATCAAGTAAAACTATCTACAAGGCAATCATGATGGTCACCGACTCAAGTAAACTATCTACAAGGCAATCATGATTGGTCACCGAGTGGTCAACAAGTAAAACTATCCACAAGGCAATCATGATTGGTCTGGTCAACAAGTAAACTATCCACAAGGCCTCATGATTGGTGTTGGTCAACAAGTAAACTATCCACAAGGCAATCATGATTGGTCACCGAGTTGGTCATCAAGTAAACTATCTACAAGGCAATCATGATTGGTCACCGAGTTGGTCAACAAGTAAACTATCTACAAGGCAATCATGATTGGTCACCGAGTTGGTCATCAAGTAAACTATCTACAAGGCAATCATGATTGGTCACCGAGTTGGTCAACTAGTAAACTATCCACAAGGCAATCATGATTGGTCACCGAGTTGGTCATCAAGTAAACTGGCAATCATGATTGTCACCGAGTTGGTCATCAAGTAAACTATCCACAGGCAATCATGATTGGTCACCGAGTTGGTCATCAGTAAACTATCCACAAGGCAATCATGATTGGTCACCGAGTTGGTCAACAAGTAAACTATCCACAAGGCAATCATGATTGGTCACCGAGTTGGTCATCAAGTAAACTATCCACAAGGCAATCATGATTGGTCACCGAGTTGGTCAACAAGTAAACTATCCACAAGGCAATCATGATTGGTCACCGAGTTGGTCATCAAGTAAACTATCTACAAGGCAATCATGATTGGTCACCGAGTTGGTCATCAAGTGAACTATCTACAAGGCAATCATGATTGGTCACCGAGTTGGTCAACAAGTAAACTATCTACAAGGCAATCATGATTGGTCACCGAGTTGGTCAACAAGTAAACTATCCATAAGGCAATCATGATTGGTCACCGAGTTGGTCATCAAGTGAACTATCTACAAGGCAATCATGATTGGTCACCGAGTTGGTCAACAAGTAAACTATCTACAAGGCAATCATGATCGGTCACCGAGTTGGTCATCAAGTGAACTATCCCCAATACAACTATGATCAGTCACCGAAGCCCCCATCCCCCTCCCTCCCCCCAACCCCTTTTTCATAGGTACCCCTGAATTGCTAAAATTGTTATTAATTTTTTTAGAGAAATTACTCCCACTAGGATGGTTTTGTTATTTAAAAACTGTTCAGTTTTACAGTTAAAGTGTACACACATATGAGACACTATTGTAATCGTAACTTACTACATGACACTATCTGATATTTAGGAATGAGGTCTGTGAAAGTGGACAACTTTATAAGATGTGCCCTGTCTGTGATGAGGACATCGGCTGCGAGTACTGGTTCCTCAGTGATGTTTGCCTGTTTGTGAAAATTTCTTATCTTTTTGACCACCCAGGAACAGTGTTTTATGCTGTCTTTGTTTCTTTCTGGGGTAAGTTTTCAGCTTGTAATCAGTTTTTTTGGAAATTCATTATTTTGAAAAGTAATGTGCTGAACTTGATTGACATGGCGTGATGTTGACCACATCACCTGGGGTCGAGTCCTAATAGGTCAATACAAATATGAGTCTAGCAACATATACTCCAAGTTCTTTGGAGTTGTTGTTGTGTAGTTAGTTCATGTTGAGATAGGCGCCGTCCAAAACCTCGATTTGTGTGTTTTGTGCACCTTGTTCCGCTTTCCCATTTTGTTAAGCTTTTTAGTCACAATTCAGGGTTTAAATGATTGGAAATAAGTCATCACTGTAAAACTATGATGATCTGGGAAAGCTAATCAGGGGAACAAATGGCTGAAGAAATCAGATTTGTAAGCCAAAAGGCTTTAATATCTCACCTTTGTTGTAAGCGGGCACACTATATCCTTCCTTTTGCAATTATATCCTTCAGTTTTATTAACTTTGTCGTGTGCTTTTATTTTTTTTTTTCGAACATTAATTACCAATAAACTGCCATCAAAGCTAGATTTTTACAGAATACTTTGTTACTGGTTAAAGTTTTGTGCAAAGTGAAATGGTTTTCTTTCTTAAATTTATCATAGGCTATCCATTGATTGAATTATTCTTTTTCCCAGTGTGGGTTCCAGAGCTCCAATGTGGGGAAAACAAGAACAGACTCACTGGCAACTAACAATTAGTCAGCACTTTTATACACATATACACACACAACACTCAGATTCTGGAACCGATCTAAAGTCCAGAGTGGATGAACAAATAGAACTTTTCGCCGGAGTTTACAGCCAGTGAATGCAGAAAAAGAATTCTTCCTCCCCACATCTGTTTTGTATGTCGCACCAAGAGCTTCTACTGCATTGTGCTGTGTCTTGCTACAACAGTTCCACATACTCTATCATGTTATATTTTGTTCCGTTATAAGTTTATTTAAGCGACTTATTTGACTTAGGGATTATGAATGTGGTTTGTAATTCCACCATATCCCGTTCCATTCAGCTGCAGGCAGTTTAGCAGTTCTTTGCGTTTATTTCCACAATGGGATGCAGAGTGAATAATTAAGACAACTAAATTTAATACTGTTTAATAAAGCCACAAAAGATCAATAAATGCTGTGGCTGGTTCTGCAATGTCCTATTAGAGTTGTATAAATAAACTTTTAATGGTGTTTCTGGCTGAGTATAATCTTTTTATTTTATTATATATATATATATATATATATATATAGATATATATATATATATATATATATATATAATATATTATATATATATATATATATATATATATATATATATATATATATATATATATATATCTATATATATATATATATATATATATATATATATATATATGTGTGTGTAAATATATATATATATATATATATATATATATATATATATATATATATATATATATATATATATATATATATATATATATATATATTATATATATATATATATATATATATATATATATATATATATATATATATATATATATATATATATATATATATATATATATTATATACATATATTAAAAACAGGTCTTCAGTTTCAGCAAAAAAGTTATTTTAAAACTATTCACTGGCTACTCTTGTTTAATTTTATTATCCATGATGGATGATCTAATCTAATTTGCTTGTTTTATGTGTGTTGTTTGTAACCTAAGCAATATGTGTGAATTTCTGGTTCCAGCTGTGACATTCCTGGAATACTGGAAGAGGAAAAATGCCAGTTTGTCTCACCACTGGGACTGCCTAGATTTTGAAGAAGAGGAGGTAGGAAATTAATCTGTTGCTTCACAGGGTGAGAGAGAGAGAAAGAGAGAGAGAGTGTGTGTGTGGGTGTCAGTCAGTCAGTCAGTCAGTGAGTCTATCATTAAGAGTGTGGCATGGGATTCACATTTTTTTAGCGACTGCACGGTGTGCAGTCAACAAAAGATAATAGAAAATAATTTCTCTCTCTGTTCTGTACAAGACAGATACTTACAGACAAAGAAAACATCCTAAAAGATTCATCTATCTCCCAGCCTACCTGGTTAAGGGAGAGGATTCAGGGTTTTCTCACATCAGATTCCCTACTGTTTTATAATTTGTATATTAATATGTGTTAAAATTTACTATCTTATGTTCACTGACATACATTTTAAAGTTAACTTCACAAGACTAGGAGAACAGTAAAAATAATAGTGTACTGAAATCATTGAATAATTCAATCATAGGACTGTGGAGATTAAGATGGTTGCAGATGGACACTCGGAGAAGTTTCTGGTCAGGTCGACTCTTCTAGGCCAGTCTAGACAATCTGTAGCTACACTGGAACTACACCTGTAGAAGTAGCTGGGAAAGTTTGGACTGAAGGCCTTCAGGCTCATATATAGATATGATGATATGATGATGATGATGAGTGGTTGTGCAGGCAGGATGCAGTGCACTGCTTTGCCTGGAGGCATTTCAAACATGCACAGACACATATGGAGTAGGGTAGTAACATGTTTTCACATTCTTGTGTGGTACAGAGTGATAAGGTTTACAGAACAGTATCGTATCTATATTCCTGAGGGAGGAAGTTGGGGGGGGAGGGGAATATTTCATAAACAACAGTTTCAAGGATATTTCCATGCACAAGAGTTGAACATCACTCAGAAAGAGAAAACATTCATCTGTTTCAATTATTATGATCTCTTTACATTAGTAATCCTTTGAAGAATAAACATGTTTAAACACACAATCACATTTCATGTGGTATTCTCATTTCAGTCACATGGTTTCACATCACAATGAAATGGAATCTGGGAGTGAATTTACATGGATGTGAAACTCATAACATATGAGCTAAGAAAAATAAGCAGTGTTCCAATTCCAATGGCATCAGTAACAGTCTGATTGTATATCTTTCCTGTCTTTTCCTTATACTGACACCATCAGTATGGAAACTCATCATTGGCTACTGAGAAGGGAGACTGAGCATGTATGGGAATGTCCTGAGTGCTGTGATGTCAATTCTTGATTAAATCTTTCATGGAGCTATTACTCACTTTAAAATCCAATCACCAGAAACCATCGATTTTTTTAAAATTTAGTACACATGTGTTATTAATTTTATTTACACAGGAGCGACCCAGACCAGATTATGCAGCCAGGGCCACAGATGTGAAAGAGAATCCTATCACTGGGATTAACGAGCCTTACTTTGATCCCAAGAAACGAATACCAAGGATTCTTTCCGGTGTTGCAGCCATCATTATTATGGTACTTTCTTTTGAGTTTAGAGAATAATTTGTTTTTTCCACTCAGCTGTTCACTTGATTCAAGAGAGTCCCCACTATCATCATCATGTGCCCTGTCAGTTGGCGTAGGCGCTAATGCATCTCCACAGATCACGATCCCTGGTTGCCTAAAACAGCTCTCTTGATGATATCCCTCCATGCCATTGTTTCAGTCCATCCATCATCATCTTTCACAAGTCCCCACTTTATAGTAAAGTCGCTCACCACCCAGAGGAGCAGCAACAGATAATCTTTCAGACACTAAGCACACATAAATTTCCATAACAAAAAAAAAATCCATTATGTGCTTCTAATCTGAGCATCACCAAGTGATGCAAGCCATACTGAGCACCGGATACCAGTTTCTACTTTCTGAAACATGCATTGCAAGTTGGTTACAATTTCAAATGTCAGAGTGTACTACTCTCTATCAGAAAGCTGCCATTACTGCCTCTACATTCATTATCTTGCTAGATATTGTGATATTTTATGTGAATCTCTCTTTTTTAAATAATGTGAATTTTCTTATATATAAAAAATCCCACCCACTCTTTTTTTTTTTTATGGATCGTCAGTTGGTTAACATCAAAGTCATCTGCCCCTAAATGATTTTATCATTTTGAACAAAAATGGGATGTCCTGACCTAGCTCCATTTTCAATCATTTCCAGTTTTGAATCATGAATACTAGTCAAAGATCTGTACACAAGATAAACATTTATTCCCATTAACTTGTCTCATGAATTAACTCTTTGAGTCCCAAGGAACGCATCATACGTTCATAGGTTCCTACCTCGTAGCCCTATGAACGCATGATGCGTTAATAAAGAGTTAATCTCTCCATAGCAATTTTTCTAAGTTTAGAACATAACTTAACGTTCACTCTCTTCTCCATAATGCATATTTAACCACTCACCTTTTACTCATCATCATGTGCCCTGCCAACTGGCGTAGGCACTTGTACGTCTCCACAGATCACAATCCCTGGTTACCTGGAACAGCTCTCTTGATAATATCCCTCCATGCCATTGTTTCAGCCCATCCAGCATCATCTCTCTTGGTCTGCCTCTACCCCTTTTTCCCACTGATCTTTCCAGTTGTCATGTTGTTGTCCAATCTCATCTTCCTAGATATTCAAAATTGTGAGTTACTTGTAGTCTTCTAACAGGATGGTCTTTCAGTTTTGTCAGATGGTAAATGAATTGTGCCTGTTTGGACCACATGCTTTGCTTCAAGGATCAGGGTTTTTCTTGGCCATAATTAAAAAAAGGTCTCATTATTTAATTGCTGGACTGCTTATTAAACTGCAAGCAAGTTTTTATTTTTGTTATTTTAAACTGACTTGGGATGAATCCTAGTTTAAAAAAACTAACCACCCTACCTCTTATGCAGTGACCCAGAATATGTTAACTCTTTTGGTTGGTTGGTAGTTGTACCCCACCAGTACATCGCAGAGGCGATAAACACCTGGAAACACAAAGTGCTATCATGAGGATGAGGATCACCCATGGAGAGGTCCTAGAAACATCCTTTCAGCCGTTAGGCCATATTTATGCCCTGGCTATATTCAGGGCCCCCCGGCAAAACCCAGGTTGGGGCTTCAAATAACAAATAAATGTCATCCCAAATGGGGACAACTTGAGTAATTTAAATGTTTTTAGTACCAGAAGGTTTCACATAAGATACCAAAGCAGAAAAAAAGGTAAGGGTTAAAAAAAAATCATAAATAAATTATTTTTAAAGCAGCATTATAAATAATTACAAAAACCATTGGGATAGCCAGATCTGTTTTTATATAACAATATATTCTAACCAAAGTTTAAAATTAAAAAGATTACATTATGCTATTTAGGGAAATTAAGTGACAGAACCACTCACACATTAGGCATTGCTTGTGACTAAAAGAGTTAAGGTCTAACATTGTCAACCCTAGTAATGATATCTGGACTATTTGGACGATCTTTGTTTTTAAACCAAGAGACGAATTAATATTCTAAATACAAAACTAATATTCTGATATTTCTGATTGATGTACCGATCGCTGGATAGCACAATATGAACAATACAAATATCTGGAAATATCTGTCTTTAATGTCCTTTTTTTAAAACTATTTTCTAGAGATTACTTCTGTACTTCAGGCATTGTGAGCATACTTCGTCACATTCTAAAAAACCCAGTTTGATTCCAACCATAGGCAATTTGGCAACAGAACCGCTTTATGTTGATTTTTGGACAAACATAGTGAACACCGCCTGTCAGAAAGCAATGGCAAACAACTGAGTGTAAAATTTCCTTGTCGAGCTAAATAGCTTAAAGAAAATGGCGCTCCTTGTGCAATGTCCTATAAAGGACACACAACTGACTAGAGTGATGTGGGACAGGGTGTTCTTGAGCACTTGAGGATACTGTAGGTTTTTTTTTCTGACCCTGACATAAAAATTACCAAAGATTTGAACCTGGGTCTCCTGAATCACAGCCCATTATTATAACCACTTGGCCAAACACTCCTCATCCACCAAGTAAAGGACCCTGTTCACACCAATGGCACATCAGGCATATGAAGCTAGACTCATAATAAAATAGACCATTTGGCCCTCAATTAGTGGTATGGTAAATTTCACACAGGCTGTCTTTTCTTTGGAGAACATTACCCGGTATCTCTTTTAGACTGGGTTGACCGGAGCACAAAGGTCATTTTAACAAACATATACATTATCAACTTTTCAGTCCCAAACAATGCCCTGTGTATACTGGTTATTACTGATTTGCACCGTTCAATGTGTTTTGTATATTTGTACATCTAAGCTCTTTTTATACCTTTACCAAAAACACCTGGTGCAGTAGAGTGTGGAGAACATCCAACATTTAGTTTAATGAGTCATGTAACTAAAATGTTATTAAGACATCATGAGAAGAATAAGGTGCAAAATGAAACCAGAAATTGAAGAAGAGCAGTGTGGTTTTATTGAAGGTAAAGGCACAAACAATGCCTTATTTATCTTGAGAACACTTTCGGAAAGAATAATTGAAATGAACAGAGATCTGTACTTGTGCTTGATTGATTACACTAAAGCATTTGATGAAGTGAAACATGGAGAAATTATTAGAATTTGGAAATATTAAACATTGATGGTAAAGATCTGAGAATAATTTTTAAAAAAAACATATACTGGCAAAAAGCAGCAGCCATAAAGATTGACAACGAAGTTAAAGGTTTTCCAAACATTAAACAAGGTGTTAGAAAGGGATGTGTGTTATCACCCGATTTGTTCACTTTGTACAGTAGAATAATAATCAGATCCATACATGGTATGCCAGGAATATCGGTTGGTGGGCATATTGTTAACAACCTGTGATGTGATATGTTGATGATATAGTTTTGATCGCGGACAACGAGACACAACTGCAAGAAATGATGGACAGGTCTATAATTGTAACGAAAAGTGACTACCAATGCCAGATGGCATGGACTTTAAGAAGTAATACATCTTAATTTTAGTCAGGCAAACTAACTCAGCCCAATAACCCAACTAGCCCACTGTGTGTTGTGTATTTGGACCCTGTGGATGCAGTATACCTATGCGTTTATTGTCATCATTATTGCTTTCAATCGGACATCAGCTATAATCTTCTGGGACTGAAAGAGTTAGACATTGAAAAGTATTAGTGAAACAGACATAAGTGCTCATTATCCGACAAGATAAAAACTGTTTATCTCAATAATATCTAGGAAGCATATTTACAGAAGACGGCAGTCTTGACAGAGAGATAGAAGCTAGAGTCATCATCATCAGGTGCCTTGCCGACTGGTGTGGGCGATCATGCCTCTCCATAGAAGCCAGAGTACAGAAGGCAAATGCTGTCACCTCTCAGTTTACTCCATTACTTAAGCACCTGAATGTTTCCCCTCCAGCAAACCAGCAAATGATTAGTATCATCTTCATCCCTACTTTATGCTGTCAGTGCCAAACATGGACAATAATCAGAAGAGAAAAATAACTACCTGTGAAATGTGCTGTCTCTATAAGGTCATTAACACAAGAAGGGACAGGGTTGAGAAAACCAACATTAGAGAGAAAGATGGAATAAGACCATGTCTGAATTATATTCACAGACAAAGAATGAAATGGTTCGGCCATCTAGTGAGAATGCAGCCAGACCAGACAAGACTGCATATGAGACTTTTTACAGCAGAAAATCTGCGGAAAAAGCCAGTTAAAGGCAACCAAAAAAAAAAAAGATGGATAAATGGTGTAGCAGAAACCTGCAAAAAGATGAACAAATCGACCACCCAAGCCACCCCAGAAGCACAACAAATACAGAAAACCATGACACTGAACCACAACCTGGTATCAGAAACAGAATAAAAGAGTAACTTAACAATATTGAAGTAATGGGTTTTGTTTATTTTCATCCTTACAGATATTCCTTGTACTGATTTTCATTATTGCTGTCATCATGTACCGAGTGTTGATAAGCATTCCTCTCTTTGAGAACAAGGAACTGCGTCCAAAAGCTTCAACTATTGCCAGCATGTCTGCTGCTGTTGTCAACTTGGTGATCATCATGACACTGGGCCGTGTGTATGAAAAGCTAGCTCTCAAATTAACTCAATGGGGTTAGTTGGTGAATTTTTCAAATAATATTTGAGTAAAAACTTTCATTTTTTTTTAAATCTGCCCACTTCATTATGCTGATAATGATGATGGGGTAGAATTTTGTCTCTTTGGGGAGTGCAAGCAAAAATATCTCCTACCCATGTCGTTTAAGTGATACTATTCAAAATGATTATTGTTTGAAATATATAATGTCATAAAACATGTGTTTTATAAAATAAGAACATCTTATGCAAAACATCTGTGTCATTAAAGGTTGGGAAAAACCTTCTTACCTGCTGAATAGTTTATTACATGGCTATAAATTCTTCTCATTCTTCTTTATTTATCTTAGTGATGTAACTGCATTGTGCCTGCTTCTAGCGTAGCTGCAATATTTGCACCTTTCGGCCTGCTCGACTGACTTCATCTGGCTCATGTTCGCCAGGTTAGCCATCCAACCATTTCCAAACATTGTTTTGTGAAACATGATGTAGCCTCATTTGTGATGTTACCTGTTTGTCCCAATATCTACAGGTGTTGCCCCTGGACAGAAGGCAGGGGCAGATCATGGGCATTCCTTGCCATTCAAGGAGGCTTCCAGAAAATGCAGAGCTGACACATGATGCCTTGATCATGGGCTTACCCTAGGAATTGTCACATGCTGTTCATGACTGCTTAACTTTGTATCCATGCATTGGGCTTCCCACCAATCATAGGTTACACCCACTGAAGATAAACAGGGAGCAGCAAGCAGGTTCAGAGTTTTGATGACCCCACATGTGGGCACAATCTCCTTTAGCATATTAGTCACCTTAAATGTCACTGCATCTGGACACCTTGTGCGATAGTATCTGTTCTTTTTCCTCTTTGCGTTTGGTTTGGTTTCGTATGCTCAGATAAGACCATCAGGTGGGTTGCCTCTATGAACTTGCATGTCAGTAGCAGGTCCTTCATGGTCCCTCATAGCTTGCTCTGCACACTTTGCTCTTGAGGCCAGATGTCTTTTTGAAGTTGTAGGTAGAGTGGGCAGCTCTGCAGAATGTGCTCAGGTGTTTGTGGTCCTGTTTTACAGGCACACTGTGGGGACTGTACAATCTTAATTTTATGCTTGTGGTAGTTAAGTCTGCAGTGTCCTGTTCTTAGATGGAAAATTTTTGAGTCTGCTGATGGGGTCTTGTGGATGTTTACTGTTAGTTTGTTCTCTCCACAATTCCTTGTATTTTCCCTTAATAAGTGTTCCGATGGAGGGGTGCATTGTTTCTCCTTTGTTCCATTTTTTACAAGTCGGTCTGCTAACTCATTTCCGGGTATACCGCAATTAGCCAGGATCCACTGGTGAATGATTTGATTGTTTTTTATGAGTCTGTTTAGCTGTCGGGTCAGTTCTCTTTCCATGTTGTCTCATGGATTCCTAGGAGTCACCTGGAGGACTGACATGCAGTCACAAAGGAAAACAATGCTACTGTTTTTAATTTTTCTTTTCTCAAGCACTTTGGCTGAATCAATAACTGCATGCTGCTCTTCTCTGAAGCTTGTTGCAACAGTATCAGAAAAGCATGCATCGGGTATGGCATGTCAGTTCGGTTTCAGCACTCAAACGAGTGAAGCCAGTGTTAGCAGACATTTGAACCTTGTCTAATCACACAGTGGGAGGTTTGATAGTTGGGATTCTTAACCTTTGCCCTCACACAGTGAGATGTTTGTTTTTAGGACATCAGAAATGTTGCTGTTATTCCATAAGACAGAACTGTGAGATATCGTCCACAGGAGATGTTTCTCATCTATGCATGCAAACAAATCTCTTGGTCTAGGGATGAGTCTCAATAGTTTGCAGAGAGAGCTGTCTGCTGAGCTGATCATTATGTCATGACACCTGACTAGTGGACGTTTGAGCCAGATCAATAGGACTTTTGAACCGAGGTTTGTCATGTAGTAGGAAATTCAGCCTGTGGTTTTCACTCATGTTCAAAAGGTCATAAAAGGGTGCCAGCACAAAAACTTTTATATGCTTTTTTGAGTTGAAAGTTGTTGTGGAGAGTCATGATTGCCCATGCCAATCAGAAAAGCACTTGATGATGAGGATGATGATGATGGTGATGATGTTGATGCTGATGACGACAAGGATGATGATGATGACAGTGATGAGAAATGTCATAGACATACAGAGCATTAACTGTTTCTCCTAGCATGTACATTTCAACTGTGATTTTAAACCCTCAGCATGACCTGCAAAAAACTATAACCATCACCCTTTTTATAGTTTCTAAAAAAAATGAAAGGTCTAATATCCATGTCTTGCAGTTAGCAGTTAAAATTAATTGCTAATATACACTATCATAATTTTTTGTTTTTCAGAAATGCACCGGACACAAACTGAGTTTGAAGATCAGTTGACTTTTAAAGTTTTTATTTTCCAGTTTGTCAACTTTTATTCTTCCATAATATATATTGCCTTTTTCAAGGGAAAGTAAGTATGATAAATCTCAACCTTATAATTTCTTAACATTTGTTGACTTGTATATTTAATCCTTGTGCCCTGAGAACACTAAAAAACTAAATCATGAACCAGTTAGAATCCCGGAACAAAAATTGTAAAAGCAGCAATAATTTTTTAACAGGTCACTTATAAAGTTGTTCAAATTATACATATATTTTTAAATCATTTTTTTTAAATATTTAAAGATAAATTAAAGGAGTAGTCAGTTGAAGAGGGTGAAGCATTAAATGGAACACATCCCTTGGGGCCTAAAAAACATGTATGTATCTGGTGCTTCATACCGTCACCCTATGATCACTATCACTAAGGCCTACGTGAACATCTTTCTAAAAAGCCATTTAGCTCAAAGGAAAGCCAGCCCCCCCCCCGTCCCCTTCCCCAAGATATTGTTAGTTAATGTATTCCTACCCTGCCTTCCTAAATACTTGTGCAGGCGCAAACTTAGCTAATAGTATTAACTGAAATCTTAAAAACAGCTCACCATAGACAAATCAAAAAAGTGAGATTTATGAGGAATTGAACCCAACCAGAGGTGTCAGTTTTTTTTTTTACTTCTCAGGGCATAAGGGTTAAGCTAATCATTATATTAATGTTCTCTTTACTCTGTGGCTTAGGCACTTGGTAATGTGGAGGTGCTGGGTTCGATCCCAGCTGCCAACAGGTTGTCTTGCATTGGTTTTGACAGTGGTACCGAGAGCCGACTATTCAGAGGGCAATGGCAAGCTACTGGATGTAACATTTGCTTCGAAAAACCATAAAAGCCACACACAAAAATGCTGGGTATGGTTCTGCAACCTCCTGTAAAGGATACGCAACTAACTTTTTTTTTATACCTTGTGTAATAAATCAGAAACTTTTTCAAATAGTTTTTTTTCCTACATTAGTGACTCAAGGTAATCCAGCCTCTTAAAAATTGTAACCATAAAATTTTCAGAATTTAATGAAAGATCTCAAGCCAGGTTTTTTTTCCTAGTGGTACGCAATGGTATGCAGCACCTGCCTCTTTTTTTAAGGGACATTTTTTTTCTGCCTGCTATACTAGACACATCGTGTTGAATACTGAAAATGTATCTTAGTTAAGCCCAGCATATGGTTGAAGTATTACTTAAGAATTCAGAAAAATGTAAGAATGTTTTGGCTATAAATGGTGTTTCTTTCATTTGTTCATTGTCTAAAGTAAAAGTAAGTAAAGGCCCCTTTTCCACACCTTTATGCATATAGGGCTAGACCTATATTTTTTATAGACCAATTGGCACAAGATGGGTGATGTAGTCAGCATCACACCGGCTGCCTTTACTTCCTAGAACTTTACCCTGTACCCACTCAAGGCTGGGTCGACCTGGGAGTCAAGTTCATTTTTTTTTTCAAAGTCCAGCTCTGCCAGGGAGCAAACACGACCTTCCGATCTGCACACAAGCGTCTAGCTGCTACGCTACCGAGATTCCCATTCATTGTCTTATTGTGTCGTTATATGTCAGATGCGGCTGACAGTCTACTCTTTATTCCATTCTATTTGGTGCATTTACTTTGAGGTTTGAGGTTTTGAACAATGGCACACAGGTGTAACCCATAAGTGATCTGGTCTTCTTCTAATTCTAAACTGTAGCACTGGCGAGGATCCTGAAATACTGTGGGTAGATTTTTCACTCTAAATTTGGCCCAGGTAGCGCCGTCAGGCTACTATTTTTGATTTCTAACTGCCAAAGGATTTTTTGCGTGCGCAGCAATGTACACGGCCGTCTGATCTCACTCCCCAGGGACCAGGGAGATTACTAGAAGTCCAAGTCCATGTGAAAAAATCCCAGCTCTTACCGGGGATTGAACCCAGAACCTCTAGCACTCGAGGCAGACATCATGCCTGGAGACCATGCAGCCCCCTTGCATTCACTTTAATATCATGGATGGAATCCAGTCCAACACCTCTGGCTTCTGTCATCAGTGTTTGCCTTTGGGTTTTTCCTGGACGCCCCTCATTTCCTCAGTCTCTCTGTTTCTCCTTTATCACCCTGTCAGTAGCCATACCAAATAACAGGGAAGATAAAATACATTCCTGTTAACTCCAACTCAACCTGAACTTCAACTGAACACAAGTTTAGTTTCAAACTAATCACTTAAATATGGCCTGGAGAGAATGAGGCACCTGGGTGTAACCAGAGGGTCGGCCAGCTCACAACACTCAGAGAAAAGGCAAGACGGACATATAATCAGATTGTAACCTGTACCATCAGTATTGGAACTGTGTGCTGAGATGAGGTAGCATGGTGGAAATTCCAGAATCTGGGGTGTCAATTCACTCAACTCAGAGAATCACTTAAAATTATGATCTGGGTCTTCTTTTAGACATTGCTTTATAATTTTTATGATTGTGTCTCTTTAGCAAACATTATCTGCTTAATTAAGCTTGCCTTTAGTTGTTTCGTGTGGCTCAGTCGCTTTAGATATTAATAATAGGTTTAACAATTTCATGATCCCCAAGTACTATGGTTTGAAATCCATGATCATATAAACAAAAATAACAGCTTGTCATGGACCTACAGTCCATTTGTATGAGTGTACAATATGACACTGCTCTCATGGTTTTCTGGCAGTTATATGAGAGTCACACCATGGAAAAGATTGGAGCCACACTATGTATTATTCCTAAAGACGGCAATGGATACACTGTTGCCAATCTTCATTGTGGAGACAGAACATCATTTATTATGTGTTTTTTTTTTCAAGTTGTTCAGCTAATTATTTGGCTTAACAAAATGGAGCTAGAGAGCTTTTATGTGTTAAATAGAGCAATTTTGATTTATGAAAGTCAGTTATGGACATCTCTGTAAGATAACAGAGATGTTAAAAAACTGTTTACACAAGGGAGTTGAATGGTTCTAGACCACGAGATGGACCAGGAAGAGAATGGAGAGATAATACCCAGACCTACAAATACTGGGTGTAACAAACTGGAAAGAAAAGGCCAACCGGAGAGATGAATTGACGCGAATGATATCTGCAGCAGTCAGTGAACCTCAAGGGCTCAGAATGCTGAAGAAGAACAAGAAAATATGGGAAATAAACAGATAAAACAGACAGGACTGTCAAGATGTTTTATCAGATTCTGTAGATGTATCTTGAGGAAATCTTAAACTTGCATTAAGAGTAAATCAGACTTCTTGGGGGGGGGGGGGGGGGGGGGGGGGGGGGGAGTAATTAACTCTTCTTTCAGAATTTTATAACATGAGGTAAACTATAAAATGTCATGACATTTGGAAGAAGAAGGATAAAAAACAGAGGGTAAGAACATGCACAAGACGAGGAAATGGTAGAACTGTTCCTAAATACTACAATAGGAGTGACATTCTGCAAAGTACATGCACTTGCAAAATGAGCAGTCCAAAACAGCTCTTTCTCATGCTTTCATATTTTTTTCCCTGCAGATTTGTGGGATACCCTGGACATTACAATACATTCTTTGGACTCAGAAGTGAAGAGGTGAGAAAATCTGTCCTAGTCATTGATAATTGTTTACTCTTGGTGGGGGGGGGGGGGGGGGGGAAAACAAAGCTTTAGTAAGCTCAAAGGAAAGTGTTAAAGGATGCAGGCTAAAAGAATATAATGTTGAACTAATGTAGATTAGACAAAGCCATAGCAGTTGAAATACTGTCATTTATACTGGAGAAGTCACCTCTGTGGCTAAGTCAATGCAAACACTTCGTAATGCCGGGGTGCCGGGTTCGATCCCATCTGTGGGCTTTGGTTTCGACAGTGGTATCAGGGGGCTGATCGTCTAGAAAGCAATGGCAAACTACTGGATGTAAATTTACCTAGAGAAACCACACAACAGCCAGGGGCTGCTGGGGTTGGTTCTGCAATGTCTTGTAAAGGATACTGGAGAAAGTGGCTGGACAATTTGTTAGAATGCTGGGTTACTAAACTATCCAAAGGTCTTCTCTCCTGATATTGCTTTTGCTGCTCTCATTTCCAGTTCTTATGATATATCTAAAATGTATGCTTTTTCGGTGACCCAATAAGCATGCTATAGAAGATCAAGGTAGGGCATATATGAAAACAGTGGCTCCATCTGATACAGCACGCCGCGTTTCGCAAAATCACCTTCAGTTTTGTCCTAGGCGATGTTGGTGGGAAAGGCCAGGAGAAAGTAGACACCCTGGCTGGCAGTGCGACTATCAGGAATGGGCCAACTTTAGACAGGAGAGACATCATCAATGCCATATGAGAGACTAAACACTGTGGGGCTTTCAGTTTCATGGAAAATGATTTTTCATTGAAAAGACTGTATACCTTGGGTGTAAAACCAATCCTAATACCTTTAGGAAAACCATGTGAGAGCCACCCATCATTACATCAGCCAAAACAGAATGGGAGTTTTTAGCCTAAAAACACTTGGAGACCTACCCAAGAGGAGATCAAAGCACTTAAGGTAATGTCCAATGTGCGGTGAAGATGATCTTTAAATCAACAATGAACCAAATAATTTGAATTTTATTCCTTTTTTCATTTGAATTGGCCTCATATAACTTGATTATTATTTTAATTATAGTAACACAAATAAATATCTTTGATGACATTATTTTTGAAGACTTACAAAAATTATTGATATCTAGGGGGACAAGCAACACTTTAGCTAAAGGAATTGTCAAATGTGAATACTCAAACCTACCATTTGTGCAGAAACCTGGGCATGAACAGGCAACTACACGATTGAATTGAGTCTCTGGAGATGTGAAAATACAGAAGAATATATCATATTTCATGGGGGGAAAAGCCCAATCAAATACTACTATTCTGAAGAGACTGGAATAAAAATGAGTTGCTGAAATATTAAAAAAAATAAAAATCATTTGAAATATTTTGTCACATTAGAAGACATAACACTCTTTTTTAAATCATACTTGAGGTAAAAGTTAAGGGTCAAAGAGCGAGCAATAGACATAATCAAGATTGAGAAAACCTCAAAAGCTGGATCAATAATAGTCTGAGAGAATGTACTACCAAGACAAGAAACATAGTGTGTTGGATATCCATTGCTGTCAGTCGTCATTGTGGAAATGGCATCTGATTGCTTGACTGATTTAAACTTGCATGAGTTTATTCATTGTTATATTTTATGGCTTTATTCTCAACTTAAGAGGCTAACAATGTTTCAGTGTAACAATGGAGGATGTTTGATAGAGCTTGCCCAACAACTTGGGGTTATTATGATAGGAAAACAGATCATTAACAATGCACAGGAGATCATTGTTCCGTAAGTATTTTCATTTAATATTTTAAAGTCACCATCTAGGCAAACAGAACTTTAGAAAGACAACCTAGGGCCAGCTACTCCTTGCTGCTTGAACACATGTGTAGATCTATTTAAGCAATCAGCCACCCATTTCATCTTCTTCTTTTTAGAATTCACCGGCTGTAAACACTGGGTTTAGATGTTTAGACACATTGTTCAATAATATTTATAACAGTACCTGATAATGTTTTAAAATTTACTTTCATACCTTTACCAAAAACACCTGGTACAATGGAGTGTGGAGAATATTAAACAGTTAGTTTAATGAATCATGTAACTAAAATACTAATGAGAATTACGATGAGAAGAGTAAGGTGTAAAATTGAACCAGAAATTGGAGAATTGCAGTGTGATTTTGTTGAAGGTAAGGGCACAAACAACGCGATATATTTATCTTCAGAACACTTTCCAAAAGAGTGATCTGCGCGAATAGAGATCTGTATTTGTGCTTTATTGATTAAAGCATTTGAAAAAGTACAGAGTTGTCATAGTTTAGCGGCTAGATGCTTGCCTGGGGATCGGAAGGTCATAGGTTCGCTCCCTGATGGAGCTGGACTTTTTTCAAAAACGACCTTGGCTTCCAGGTCGACACAGCCTTGAGTGGGTGACCACATCATCACCCAGCAAGTACTGATTGGTCTATAAGATATAGGTCTAGCCCTATATGCCCAATATGCCTAGAGGCTTGGAAAAGGGTCCTTTACTGTAGTTTACCAAACATCGATGGTGAAGATCCGAAAATAATGAAAAACATAAACTGGCAACAAGAAGCAGACATAAGGACTGACAACCAAGTTGGAACTTTTCAAAACATTAAAGAAGGTGTTAGGGATGTGTTCTATCATCCGATTTATTCAATTTGTACAGAGAAATAATAATTAGTTCCTTACATGGAATGCCAGGTATATCGGTTGGTGGGCATTTTTTTAACAACCTGTGATATGCTGACGATTGCTGAAAATGAAACACAACTGCAAGAAATGTTGGGTATAATTGTAATAAAAGGGGTCTTAGTTTGAACAGAGAAAAACAAAAGTAATGGCAATTACAAAGAAAACTGACCCTCCAAAGTGCAACATTAAAGTAAATGGGACAAACTTCAAGCAAACTGATATGTTTAAGTACTTAGGTACCCTGGTAATGTCAGAGGGAAGATGTATTAAAGAAGTTAAATGTAGAATAGTTTAAGCAAAAGCAGCATTTTACAAAATTAGGAACATTTTATGCAATCATTTTTTTGTCAATTGAGGTGAGAAAGAACATTCTCAAAAGCTTTATAAATTCTATCTTTATATATGATAGTTAATCATGGACAGTTTGTGAATTAGTGAAAACTTAATTGGAAGCTGCGGAGCAGTGGTTTTATAGAGAATGATGAGAATACCCTGGACAGATAAGAAGAGTAATGAAGAAATGGAGTCACAAAGAAAACTTATTGCCCAAATGAGAAAGAGACAATCTACATTCTTTAGTCATGTGATAAGAAGAAGAAAACTGGAGTACATCATGACAGTAGGATAACTGAAGGGGAGGACTTTAAAGGAACCACACCTAATTAATTGCCTTTTATGACATGGTTGTTAGGGTATAGTAAGTTTCTTACGTCTATTATTGCTTCCCCCCTCCCCCCAAATCCCTGTAAAATGGAGTCCCAGGACACACTCTAGGCATCACGAATCTATTGATGATCAGTTTATGTAAATATAGATCTGGCACTATATTTCCAATGTGCCAATGCTATCAACAAATTAGGTTCCTCGTTGTTAGTTTCAGTGTCTTTCTACACTGGTATAGTTCAAACCTTCAGTGTCTGGCTACACTGTTATAGTTCAAACCTTCAGTGTCTGGCTATACTGGTATAGTTCAAACCTTCAGTGTCTGACTACACTGGTATAGTTCAAACCTTCAGTGTCTGGCTACACTGGTATAGTTCAAACCTTCAGTGTCTGGCTACACTGGTATAGTTCAAACCTTCAGTGTCTGGCTACACTGGTATAGTTCAAACCTTCAGTGTCTGGCTACACTGTTATAGTTCAAACCTTCAGTGTCTGGCTACACTGGTATAGTTCAAACCTTCAGTGATTGGCTACACTGGTATAGTTCAAACCTTCAGTGATTGGCTACACTGATATAGTTCAAACCTTCAAACCTTCAGGGATTGGCTACACTGGTATAGTTCAAACCTTCAAACCTTCAGGGATTGGCTACACTGGTATAGTTCAAACCTTCAGTGATTGGCTACACTGGTATTGTTCAAACCTTCAAACCTTTAGTGTCTGCCTACACTGGTATAAGGAAAACAAGAGAAAAGGAACATTTTTATGCCAGACTTACAAGTTTATAGACCAGTAGGCACTCGATGAATGATGCAGTCAATATTTTTCTTTTTTACCTATTTTAGCACACACCAAAAAAGGAGAAGGAAGTAGAGCGCAAGGTAGACCAAAAACCAGATGGAGAGATAACATCAGAGAAACTATACGATCTGTCTATGTTTGAGGTGACCAGAAGAACAAGAAGTATAAACTTATATCTCCCTCAACACCTTTCCTTGGTGCTTATTTGCAAAAGCAGATGATAATGATGATGAATGTTGTTGTCACTGCCATTATTTTAATGACATTACCTTAAGAACCACATGGCAAATTATATTGTCTGTTTTTTTTTTTTTTCTAGAAAACTGAAAGGGTTTTGGCACCGTTTCCAAACTAAACTGAAAAAGAATGTGCAGCGCCCAAGATGGGAAGAGGATTTTGAGTTGATAGAGAATGAGGGCCTGTTCCAGGAGTACCTTGAGATGGGTAATTAATTAATTATCTGTTGTGCTGAAAACAAGATGAGGAATTAGTGTGTTTGATAAAAAGACACTCTACGCCTTCACAGCATGACAATAGCCAGTGGTGGCCAGTGTGGACTGGGTCACAAATTATTCTTCCCCACGCGCACTTAATGGCAGAAGTGGTTTATGATGATGATGATAAAAAATTGGAATTTATTGTAGGGAAGTGGCCAAGCTGTTTGCCTTCTGTTCTGAAGGTCATGTAAGTAAAAAAGTAAAGATCCCTTTTCACGCCTTTTGGCGCATCGGGCATATGGGCAAAGCATCCCATATTTTTACAGACCATCAGCACTCTGTGATTAATGTGGTCAGCATTACGCCGGCTGTCTTTACTTTCCCAGGACAGCCCATCCTGGTACCCATTTTAGGCTGGGTCGACCTGCGACGTCCCATACCACGACAAAAATCCACGCAGCCTGCAGTGGGTTTCGATCGCGGTATGCTGGCTCATGAGTCGGACTCACAATGCCTTAGCCACGGACGCCGTGAAGGTCATGTGCTCATTCATAATTCACTTCAGTTTCAACTTCCAACTAATCACCGAAACCATAATCTAATTGAACCTTCATACATTGCTTTATAATATTATTTACTATTGGTATTGACATACAGTAGCATTCTACAATTCCCTATAGTGGTGTTCTGGGTAGGCTATCAGTAGCCTTCTTAAAGACAATGATATTCAAAATAATGGTTGTTGTTTTGCAACATATTTCTCTTAAATGTCTCAGGGTGAATATTTGACCTAAACAACTTCTTCCAGGTTGAAAAGCTGGTTGTTCCTCTATTGGGATTGTGTCCACTACATCTTTAATTTTATCCTCTACCTTTTTATTTCTACTGAGAATTATTTTACAAAAGGTCTTTGACATTACTGATAACAGAGTAATTTATGTACAGTTGTTACACACAGTTAGATCAGCTTTCTTTGGATGTATGCAAGTTTCACAGAGATCCCTGAGCTAGGATGTTTGTGATTTGTATGATACTTTTTATAGGACCTAGGCATTCTGCAGAGAGAGAGAGAGAGGAGAGAGAGAGAGACTGAGACATATGGGATAAAACCTGATGCAATGAAGTTGATCCTTCAGGCTTTAAATCTTACCTTGAAAGTTTTCAGTGACTGAAGGTTTTACAGCAGATATTGCATTCACCAGGACTAGGGCTCATTTTGATCAAGAACTATCAACACCTGTTCCCGGTCATCCTGGACATCAATTCTCAGTTGAAATATGGGTCTCAATAAGTTTAATTATTCATGTTGTTCTTAATAGATCTATCTAATCTCTTCATTTCTCACACAGTCTCTTCTGGTTTTGTTCTCAGCCTTTCTAGAACATCTCATAAGGTATACCTAATGTGCTATAGTGTCAATTCTTAAAATAAGTTACTAATCACATTTAAAAGTATTATAACACAGAAGATAGGATTCCAATTCTTTTTTTTTTCTTTCTTCCTTTCTAAGCCCCCAGTGCAGCAAAGGCCCTCAACCAACTCAAACCAAATTGTTCTTCCTTCACTATCGGATGAAGCTCTCCCTATGTCCTCCCAATCTTTTTAACTTCACTCTCTAGCTCCCTTCTCTGTATTTTTTTGTTTGTTTGGTCTTCCTATATTTCTATGCCCCTGTGGGTTCCAATGCAAAGACATTCTAATATTAATCACAAGATTTCTCAGTGTGTGTCCTTTCCAAATCCAGCGTTTTTTCTTCACTTCTAGGCCCACTGAAACTTGTTTAGTTCGCCCCTAAAGCTCTACATTAGTGATTCTATCATATCATTTAATTTCCTCTAATCTGCGCAGGAACCAGTTAATGATTGATTGTATTTTATTATTATTGCCTTAGTTGTTCTCCATGTTTCCACTCTATACGACAGTACTGATTTGACATTAGAATTAAAAGTTTATGGTTTAGTAACAGTTTTACTGGCTATAGACTGGATTATGAAGACAGTAACTGCTAACACCAAAAATGGAATTCAGTGGACCCCTACAAAACAGCTTGAGGATCTGGACTTAGCTGTTGATATTTCTCTTCTGTCCCTTTCACGGAATTAGATGCAAGATAAATTAAATATACTTGATGCAAGATTACAGCAGCCTGGTCTGAAAATCCATAAAG